AAGAGGTTCTTCCATCCAAGTTTTCTAGCTGAGAACAAGCTACATTATTCTCTTATAGGGTTTCAAATGTATGAATTTTAATTCAAAACTAGGGGAATGACATGATTTTCAAGATAAAAGCATGAATTCTCTTTGCAAATCATTAAATATTTTTATCTTTATAAATAATTTATATTTGACAAAAAATTATCATTTAATTATTTTTCTGATATTTAAGAATTTGAAATTAACTAAAATTTTATCGATTCCTATTGTTTAGATTTGAAATTAAATTTAAGTTTCGAATATTTTTTTTTGTTTGAATTATGTAAGAACTCCTAATGTTTAACATCTTAAATATTCTATTATTATAAAATAGCAAACACGTAATATCCTCACTTGAATTCAAGTTTAATGTAGCTAGGTTGCGATTTATTAAAAAGAGTCAATTTGAATTCAAGCGAGTCAAACACTTGAATAACAAATCAAGTGAAAACTATTATTGCTGATTTAAATTCTTGCTAGACAGTTTTAAATTTACAATTTTAAGTATGATGAACTTACTCTTGAAATTTTATTTGTTTGCATAAATACAAGTTGAGGCTCTACATCGAAATGAATTTGTCTCTCCAATTTTTAATTATGGATAAACAAATAAACTCTACTTGGATTAGAAAAATACATTAATTAAAAGACCTACTTTGATCATACGAAAATTTATTTTTTATGTAAAGTACTATATTTTATTCCCTTAGGGGTCGTTTAGTTGCCGGTTAGAGTTATGCAGGTATTAGTTATACATGTATTAGTTATGCAGGGATTAGTTATGCAGGGATAAGTAATGCAGGGATTAGTTATGCAGGTATTAGTTATGCAGAGATTATTTTTTTGAATGTTTGGTTTGTTGTATTAGAAATTGATATACATTATATAAATTTTAAAGTAAAATGCTTGTTTTACAACTATACCCCTGGCCTCTTTTGCATTGTTTTTTCTCTCTTTCCATTTATGTAGGAAACAATTTAGTTAGGAACTTTGGATGTTACTTTCACTTCTTCGTCATACTACTGAACTATGTGAAGTTTAGACATATTTGATTTTCACTTCTTAGTTTTGGTATTTCCATTTTCTAGTGGCTTCTCCAGTTTACTTTTGCTAGTTTGTTCTTTAAAAATGAGAGAAGACAAGGTATATAGTTGGCAAGTGAAAAGCAAGTGAAACCTGATTGACGGGTTGGCAGAGAAATAAGGAAGCCTTATGTGTAAAGTGATAGGGGTAAATTTTATCATTTCAGTATTTTATCCATGTATTACTAATACATGTATTAGTTATTCCATCTTCTACCCTGCATAAAATAATACACAGATTGACTCATAACTTATACATGTATTATTTATGCATAATTGAAAAAATGTCAACCAAACATGGTATTAGTTATGCAGAATTTTATACAAAATAACTATTGCCTACCAAAACATGGTATAAGTTATGTTACCCCTTATACATGAATAACCTTTCTTCTAACCAGCTACCAAACGACCTCTTATTGAATTAGCTAAATAAGATCAACAATTATCATCTTCGGGAACTCACATTTTTCTTTAATTAACCATTATTTTTAATAATTCAAAAACAATATTTTAACATAATATTTATGTGCATTTTTAAATTATATACTTACTGAGATAGGGTACACGCGCAACGCGCATACCTAAATACTAGTTTAACTCAAAACAAGTCTAGTAATTTTTGAAAACCATCATTGGAAAGTATCTTCGTATCCATTTTCTACGGTTGGACTTCATTTCTTTCCTTTACTCTTTTGTTTGAGAAATGATGGCATGTCAGTTGTATAAATAATCTTTGTTTACCAAAAAAAAAAAATGTATAAATAATCTTTACGTAAATAGCGGTTATATTCATTATTTACTTTTTTAGTTATATACATAGTTTATACATTGATTATACATAGTTATACACATATAATCCATCAATTACACGTATATTGTACCTGGACCAGTTATTTTTAGTTTAAGTGATTGGATGAACGGTTATTAGGGTTAATTCTTCATAATTAATTTTGACAAATTCAAAGTGTGGGCTACTAGAAGAAGAAAAGGAAAAACGATACTGTATAACCGCTATAAAAATAATAGCAAAAAATATTAAATTTTTTATATATATATATATATACATTTATATTGTTATATATAAAATTATACAATATTTTATATACTTTTTCGGCTGTCAGATATAAATAGTTTCTGCCACATGCTAAAAGTGATAAATACTTTAAGAGAAAAGCTCAATGAAGCCCAAAGATGATTCTCTAGGCCTAATGCAAATGGTCCAGTCAAAGTATGTCCATCCATACTAGAGTCAATCCAAGCCCAATTTCAGTAAAACAAAACATGTGGATAATAAAATATAGAGATTTTCTCAATATTCTAAAGTCTCAACATGGGTTGATAGTTCCTAGAAGTCAGAAAGTAATAAGTCTCTAACATATAAATATAAATAATAGATACGATCATCCTTAATTAGAGGTCTTTTTTGAGTCGTTGGACTAAAGAACTATTATTAGAAAGTATTTTATCCTTTTTAGTAGGCCTATTCAACGTAAATCTAATTAGTAAATCACTAATTATTGGATATCAAATGAGTTTAAAAAATAATAGTCTAGAAACTAAATGAATATAATTATTAGAAAGAAAATTTCAAAAAATTATAATCCATCAAGATATTGACCATTTTTTTTTACTACTACTTGTTTATAAATCCTTTGATGTTCTTTTTATTTGTTTGAGATTATTTACATGATGTATGTATTTGAATTTTGTTATTCATTTCATTTTAACAGATACATTATTTTATATTTGTCAAATATAATAAATATATTAAAATAAACATCGAAAGTAAATCACTAATCCAATAGTAGTTCAATTTGAACCAGATAACTTTATCATTTTATAAAATGATTTTTTTTCAAATATTGGCAAGTCATTCATATATTGCTTGGACATTTAGAATTTAGCATAAAATTAATTCACATGTGTAAATTTTTTGAGAAAAATAAATAAAGCCATATCACCTTCCCCCCCCCCCC